AGAGGAAACTAGCACAAGAGGGGCATGTTCACTGAGGCCAGGGACCCACTGGCTATGAGGTGGGTCCTGCCATGGGGTAACTAGGTGAGTCACACAGTCTACTCCATCATTAGTGGAAATTCATCAGGAAACCCCTCCTTGACTCCTGAGTATAGTAAAGAGACCAAATAAATGGGTGGAGAAGTGGAGGAAACAGACAGAAATTAGAGTCACAGAAATTGAGGGGTGAGGGGTACAGAGCATGTGTGTGTGTCTGTGTGTGTGTGTGTGTGTGTGTGTGTGTACATGTGGGCAGCATGCACCCTGACGTGCGTGTACATGTGGACAGCACGTATGAGCGTGTATGTGTGTACATGCGGGTAGCATGCACTTTGCTGAGGCCAGCAAGAAAAGCCACTAATCTACTAGTCTCTAAAAAAGAAAGCAGAGGCAACAACACAGGGAGGAAAAACCAACCGTGACCCCCAGCATTCTTCAACAGCCTCAACCAGAGTGAAATTTAAATTACGTTTCCATGGTGCGGCCTCTGTGCCTTCAGGAATTTGCCCTGTATTGCCTTTGTACTCACAGAAGATATACCATAAGCATTTGTCAGTGGTGAGGATGACAGCTACACTTTAAAAGGCACCTAAATTGCCTATCCTGTGGCTAATTTGTTGTCTGTTTGTTCTGGAAAATCGCCCCTTTATGGAACCTCTCCATCTTGAGAGCAAAATCCCATCACTTGAGGGCTAAGATGTGCTAAGAAGAAGCTCACCATTTCATTTCATATCTGTTTTCTTATAATTAATCAGTTTTATTAAAAAAAAAAAGGAGAGGGATAGATGTATCTACAACAGATGAGGGAAAATAGATTCAGCTTAGCGAAGGATTATCCATAACAGTCCCAGAAGGTTTGGCTATTCAGATGATCATTAAAGGAACGGATAGAGTTGGTTTAAAAAAAGTCCCAGCTGCCCCAGGATCAGATAAAGAAAAATGAGAGGGCTATTTTCACTCCCTTCTGGAACCACATTAAAATATATCCCTAAACAGCCTTTAGCTAGGAACTCCCCCTGCTATTCCACTAGTACATAAAGGCAGGGAACCATCTCGGGCTACTGGGAAGCACATCAATCACAGCTCAGGATTCATTCATTCCGTGGTCACTGGTGGTTTATTTAAAACACATAAGACAGTACACACAGCTGGACACAGCAAACCAGCTTGGCACTCTTGATTACCTAATTGATGGTTCTGTTTTAGGCTTTTTCTTTTTTTTCAGGTTAAAGTTTCTTAGTGCACAAATGATCAATTCATGTATTTGCTCACTCTTCTTCCTTGATATTCAACATTTTAAAATGAGTGACCAGGTCTGGGAACAATGGCTCCCATGTGTAATCGCAGTAACTTGGGAGGCCAAGGCAAGAGGATCACCTTGACCCCAGAAGTTTGACACCAGCCTGGGCAACGAGGCAAGACCCCATGCCTACAAAAAAACTCTAAAAATTAGCCAGCTGTGGTGGTGCCTGTGTTCTCAGCTTATGGGACTCCTGGGGAAGTGAAAGAAAACCCGAATTTCAGAGCACGAAAGTAAACCAAATCTTCTTGATGGAAAACAAAAAAATGGAGGCAAAGGAAGTGGAATTTAACAGTGTGGTGTCAATTAAACAAAACTGAGCTTTGTAATCTGCAGCTGCTACAATATTTACGGAGGTTATCTATGTAGAAGTGACTTTGGAATCAGGTGTTGTGGAGGGGAAGGGGACCCAACTTAGACTTGCTAGCTCTCCCCTGGAATCCTGGCTGTCCAGCTGTATAACCTTGAACAAGACATTAAACCGGAGCAAAACACACATTCCTTCTGAATTGCAATGGTCTCATTCAAAGAATATGGGCAAAAATTCCTGTTTCCACAGGTTTATTAAGATGATTAGGTGAGAATTGGAATGTGCAAGTTTCTTATGGGTATCATGCTTGATAATCACAGGGACTGTTATCAATTCATATGATACAGAAATTCACCCATTTACCTTTAATGTCTGGGTGAAACAGGGAAAGGCAAAGAACAAGGCAGTTCGCACACCTGTGAGCATAAAGAGGCAACGCCCTTGTGAACATTCTCAGCAAGTGTCTTTAAAGATGATCTTCTAAGGCAAATCCATGCCCCCAACTGAAGGGCAGCTTATAAAGTCACCAGAAGAATCAGAGCAGCCACATAGCAAATGCATGTGGTGTTCCTTTTAAGCTTATTACATGGTGCAGGTTAAAGGTCCTAAGTGGCACAGAAGGATAAAGAACTTCTCACAGAAGCTCTGGACGGTGCATCCTGACTGGTCTGAGTGGTATCTTTTTCCTTAGTACTAAGCAGGAACATACAAGCCTATTGTGCAACCCCCACACTCTTGTACTCTTTATTTTTGTCTTGGGTGTACTGTTTTACAGGCAGCAGTGAGAACGACAATGGAGATCCTTGGATAAGAAACTGCTTTGTCAACTGTATATCGTTATGAAGATACTAAGGACAATGATACGGTAGTAACAAAAGAAACAGTAACAAATACTGTGACAAATACAGCAGCAAAAGTCCCTCAAATGAATGAAAATGCATTGGGCACCTACAACGGGCATGGAACCACCGTGCACTTATGGGGGAAGTACATCAATCCTGCCCTTAGAACTCAATGAACACACAAAAACATCCAACAGAGTCACAGCAGAAGGCATGTCATAGTAAGTCACCCAAAGGCAGGAAGTATCATAGCAAGACCAAAGACAAAACAAATAATCCTGATCAGACAGAACAGAAGGAGCAGTGAAGAGGGACTTTACAGAAAAGATGAGTAGGTCTAGGAGGAAGGGGACAGACCCTGCATGAGTTACCAGCTCAGAGACAGAAAAGGAACACGTGCATTTGTAAAACCAACTCTCATGGCCGCAGCCTGGGTATTCTGCTGATTGGGGTTGCAAGTGGGAGTTGAGGTCGGTGCTTAGGGGTGAGCTGTTTTGATGAAGTTGTAAAGGGAAATTAGAGCAAGATCCTAGAAGGCGGTAAGTGAGCTGCTAACAATATCTGGCCTTACCCCTTTGCTTTCCAGGCAATGATGAGCCACAGAAAGCTTTTGAATGGGGAGTGGCACAGCCTTTGAGGAGGATTCCTCTGGAATCTATACGAAAGGCTGGAGGATAAAAGGAGGCAGAAGGCAAAGTCAAAGGGGTCAGACAGGAGCTGGCAAAGGCTTGTTCCAACAAGGCGGCCATTAGAGACAATTACAAGAAAGAGAAGTTTCTAGTTTAAAAAGAACTTTACGAAGCTCTCGTAAAATAGAAAACGCAGTCGTGAATTTCCCGGTTGGCTGCAGAGCAAGCCCAGATTTGGGTTCACGGTCAAAGGGCACAGCCTCAGGGTCCAGGGACAAAGGCAGGCATGCCATCTTTCTCACAGGAAATAGCTCTGAGAAGTGGGTGATGTGCAAAGCAATTCTAGAATCAGTTCACGTCTACAGACGCTTTGGAAATAGTTGTGTCTAGTGAGGTACTGTAAGGTGACAAGTGGAAACAAGAATGCTGATTCCAAAACCCTTACCCACAGACACACACGCTCTGGTATCAGGCAGATTTGGGAAAGGGTCATATGCAGTTAATCAAGGAATCGTGGTAAAAGGGAAAAGAGACAAGGAATCTGGAAAATGACTCAGACAGTGTTGGAAGATAAAATGTGTGCGGCACTTTAGAGAAAAACTCCTGTATTTCAGGATCCTGCCATCCACACAGGCATTCTGAGCCCCCTTTCTCCCACTACCCATGTGTGATGGTCTTTCTGGGGGTCCTCAGTCATTCACACAGCTCCCTATACTACCCTTAGCCTGAGAAGGGCCCAGTGGTCCACCATCCCAATTGGGATTCATCACTGAGCCCAGCCTTCATTGGCTGTAGCCAAAACAAGGAAGGCTAGAAATCCCATAAAGACAAACTTGGAGCTAGCGCCAACCAAACCAGTTTCCTGCTTCAAACGGAACCACGCTGAACCGTCAGCAGAAGGAGGCTGCACAGTTTGAAAGAGGAAGTGTCCAAGGAAGCTGGGTGGAGAGGAGTGTGAACAGGGAAGTGCCAACAGGGACACGTGCAGGGGGTTGGGAAGGCAGGCAGGACGCCCAGTGAGAGTGACAGAGGCCAGCAGAGCACGAGTGTGCAAGGAAACACAGGCTGAGGAACGAGAGGCTGCGTGGGTGAGTGTACCAGGGTGTCAGGCGGATACGGCACATGACGCAGAGTGGAAGACAACCACAGAGAAGCCTCAGCAAAGGAACACATTTATTCTGTCCTCCCAACAGCTCGGCATGAATCCAATGGGGAGGGTGAAGGAGGACAGCATGACACAGGGCTGAACAAGCAGAGGCACAAGGACAATGTAGGACCAAGCCCGAGAACACAAAGACCACGGGGCTTTCTTGACTGGACTGATGATGCTATGGGGGCAGAGGTGGAAGTGGGAGTCTGGCTCTCAAACACAGACTTCTATAAGAGTCACCTTCACACTCTCATCTATGCCCAGGTGGGCTCATTACTTGGGAGAGAATTATCTCTAAATAGAGGAGGAACAGTCAATATAACATAGACCAAACTCCACCCAGCCATGCCCGCAGGCTATGGTAACCAACCCTCCCAGAAAATGGTGAACAAAGCCTCTGCACGCACTTGTCAACTTTTAACAGTCATGGTAATTTCTTCTTCCTCTGTTGAGCCATTGATTCATCCATTCATTCATTCATTCACCAATTATTACTGAGTGTCTGGGACATGCTGGGCACCGAACACAACCAACCAATCACCTGCTCTCAGGGAGTTTACAGTCTGTCAGGAGAACACAGAAAAGAGACAGCCTCAATAGCCACAAAACAGTGATCAGAGTTGTGAAGGAAATAAAGGAACGAGAGGGTGGGGTGGGAGGAGGAAGGTCCTGACATCATAAAGGGCCCTTTCTTACAAGGTGAAGTGTGAACAAAGACCTACAGGAAGCCAAGAGCATTCCCAGAAGGGGCCAGGCAGTGGGCACAGTAAGGAGAGCAGCTGTGTGCAAGATGAGCGAGAGAAGACCCAAGGGCTGGCCCCACAGGAGGTGGAGCCAGGAGGGCAGGGCCGAGTGGCTTTAGAAACTCCGGGAAGGCCAGGGGTCAGGTGTGATAGTGGGTCTGAGCAAAGGCACTCTGACATCCTTCTGCTACTGCATGAGGCAAGGGAAGAATCCCAGGATGTGGTCTGTGAGGCAGGAGCACAGAGGTGACAGGGTGGTGACCTGCCCATTGCCCTCGGGTGGTATTCTGAACGCAAAGGTCAGCAGCTGCAAGCAGGCAATAGTGCCTTTCTTTTCAAAGAGCCAGCTGCTCTGATTCAGAGACACTCCCTCCCAGTTGTGGGTTTATCAGGAACTAGAGGACCAACCAACAAGGTCATTATCTGTCGCCATTGCTGCATTTACTGGTAATCAAAAGGGGCAGGGTGAGGGGTACCACAAACCCAGGGAGAAGGTCTGGGAGCACGCAGACATGCCTCTCAAGCCTCCCAACCGTCCTTTTCTAAATTTAGGTTGGAACAGAAGCCGATCCTCGGGAGTGTGACTGTGAACCCCATCATAATCTCCTAGAAAGCAAGAACATCAGGCTTACGTTTTTCCCTGGCCTCTCAGGGCTCAGTGCTCCACAGCACATACAGTAAGCACTAAATGAACACTTTGCAGATAAATTAAAAAACTGCAGAATCGTCGTAACAACACTGTGTTTTAACAGTATTTAATAATTGCTGACTGTTTGCCAGTACTTTTCAGCCAGGGACAATTTGCCCCCCTGCCCAGGAGACAGGTGGCAATGTCTGGAGACGCTTTTGCAGTCACTTATCAGGGGAGAGATGCTGCTGGTACCTAGCAGGTTAGGAAAGCCACCAAACCTCATACAATGCAGAAGACAACCCCCTTCCTGTAATAAACGATAAGGGCCCCAAAATCTAGCGCTTGGAGAAATAAAGACCCCAAAATCTAGCACTTATGAGTATCTCATCTTATTTAATCTTCACAATTGCTCTTTTTTTCCAGTTGAGGAAACTGGGCCCTGGATGTCAGTTTGCCCAGGAGATCAAAGGGAGCAACATTCTACAGCACAAACAAGGGAAGCCAACAGGGAAATACATCAATGGGCAGAATGCAACAGACTGGCGGACAGATTAAGACTAAAACAGGAAAACTGGGAAATATGGAAAAGAACAAGGAATGGATGAAAAGCAGTCCTAATCCAAGCTCTGCCAAGAAATGACACATGGGGCTGGGCACGGTGGCTCACACCGGTCATTCCAGCACTTTGGGGGGCTGAGGCAGGTGGATCACCTGAGGTCAAGAGCTCCAGATCAGCCTGCCCAACATGGAGAAACGCCATCTCTATTAAAAATACAAAAACTGGAGAGGTGTGGTGGCAGGTGTCTGTAATCCCAGCTACTTGGGAAGCTGAGATAGGAGAATCGCTTGAACCCAGGAAACAGTGGTTGTAGTGAGCTGAGATCCCACCACTGCACTCCAGCCCGGGCAACAAAAGCAAAACTGCATCTCAAAAAAAAAGAAGGAAAGAAAAGAAGGAAAGGGAAAGGGGGAGGGGAGGAGAGGGGAGGGGAGGGGAGGGGACAGGAGAGGAGGGGACGGGAGGGGAGGGGAGAAGGAAAGAAATGACACATGGCCCTGGGCCTTCCCCTCCTGACTCTAAATCTTAGTACCCACAGCTATAAAATTACAGGAGATGTAGAAGATCACTGACTTCCAGCTTTAACATCTTCAGAGGCTGGGTGTGGTGGCTCACACCGGTAATCCCAGCACGTTGGGATGCCGAGGCGAGCGAATCATGAGGTCAGGAGTTCGAGACCAGCCTGGCCAATATGATGAAACCCAGTCTCTACTAAAAATACAAAAATTAGCCAGGTGTGGTGGCACATGTCTATAGTCTCAGCTACTCAGGAGGCTGAGGGAGAAGGATCACTAGAACCCAGGAAGTAGATGTTGCAGTGAGCCGAGATCAGGCCACCGCACGCCAGACTTCAAGGCTCCCTGAAGGTCAAGGTGACAGAGTGAGACTATGTCTCCAAAAAAAAAAATTTTTTTTTCTGGACAAATTTTTTCCAGCAGCGGAAATACTGGCTTTATAGAAATACTCGTAAACACATAGAAATATTCAAAATACATATCATAAATTCTTTCCCCTTTATTCAGCCAAGGCAGGAGATGCCAAATGCCTTATTACATACTCCTTCACTCCTCCTTTCCTTGCTTCTAAAAATATCTGTGAACATCCACCTGTGCCAAGGCTGGAAGTATTCTAATACCAGATGTGCAAGGTCCCTTTTAACCTGGTGGATCTGTGGAGTCCATTGCTTGGCCAGGCAAAAGCTGGGCAATTTCCCTACTGCACAGATGGGGCACCACACTGGGACTCCAGCTAACTTCATAAGCAGCAGGCAGGACTAGGGGGACTGGGGTACAGGAACAGAATTCCCCTCTATACTAGGATCATGCCTCCCAGCCAGTGTCAACATTTACCTCTCTGCTCAATAAATCCTGATGATCATCTTAACAGAAATCAATACCTACCAAGTGGCAAAAGAATGAGAATGCAAGGTAATACGGATGATAGAAAGAGGTCTGGAGATGAGATGTGAGTAGGTGCGGAAAAGCCAGGTGAGGAGAATGAGTTTGCCACGGCCAGCACAGATCGGTGGATGTCGACAGTAGAAACAAGGCTCCCTGAAGGTCAAGGTGACATGGGAAGCCAGAAAAAGTTGGAAGACCATTATGGATGGGCTCCAAATTGGTCCTTGAAAAAAATGATGTTTTCTGTTTCTTATGACAATATTGTTATAGGGCTGTTAACAAGAATCAAGAAAAGTCGGATTGTACTGAGGGATGCCATCTAGTAACAGCCTGAGCTGGTCTCATTAAACCCATTTAATCAGTGCCTATTTGGGGCTGGGCATTGAACAGTGGATGATCCATTCACCATCTGATTCAATTCTCACATGAAAGATAGTAGATATTACCCTTGTATATATCGAAATGAGAAAACCAAGGCCCATAAAGGCGCTAATATTTTGCTAAACCAAATAAAGTAAAAGAGCGTATCTCGGCTGGGCATGGTGGCTCATGTGTGCAATCCCAGCACTTTGGGAGGCCGAGATGGACAGATCACAAGGTCAGGAGTGCGAGACCAGCCTGACCAACGCGGTGAAACCGTGTCTAGTAAAAATACAAAAATTAGCCGGGTATGGTGGTGCACACCTGCAATCCCAGTTACTCAGGAGACTGAGGTAGGATAATTGCTTGAACGGGGGAGGTGGAGGTTGCAGTGAGCTGAGATTGCACCACTGCACTCAAGCCTGGGCAAAAGAGCAAGACTCCATCTCAAAAAAAGAAAGGAGTGTGTCTAATGCCGTCTGTCTCACCACCCTACAGCAATGTCAGTGAGGGTGGACAACTGAATGTGGAGAGAGATGCGGCAGGTTGCAAGAGCCCTGTGGCTTCAATCCCCACCATGAATACTATTTAAGAGGAAGGCGATCAAGCCCAAATTCGCATTTGCTCGAGGAAGAATACAAATGTGTATCCGTTTATCTTCTTTGGAAAGTATTATCATGTCCATGTTATAGACACAGAAAATAAGACCCAGAAGAATCACATGATACATGTGACATCACAAATCTACTTGATGATAAAGGCTGAGATCGGAAACCAGCTCCTCCCTTTAAATGACTAACACAGAAAACAAAGGCAAAGACAGACAGGGAAGGCAGGGAATTCCTGAGATTTGGAAAGGTCAGGGGCAACTTCCTAGGGCAGGTGAGATTTGAGCAGAGCAGGGCCAGCACTGAAGACCTCAGCAGGAAGAAGAGGTGGGATCAAAGGACTGGGGATAAATGAGGGTCATTCAGGGGTCAGGTAGATGGATTTGTACTCGCAAACCCTGTTATCAAATGACAGGTGTCCACAGAAACAGAGAGAAAACCAAAGTCTGATCCAGTATGTCTCGCTCAAAGACGTTGAAATGATTTCACAGCAACCGTGCTACTCCATTCCTATGATCTGGCTCCTCTCCACTTTAGCAGCCCCACCTCCTGTTATAGTAACCCAAATTCATCATCTACATCTATACCTTGAGAGGTACAAAAATTCGTCCAAGGCGGGCAAAGTTTTGACTGTGCAGGGGCTTAGTGCCCCTAATTCCCATGTTGTTCAAGGGTCAACCGTAAATAACCGTATTATACACCATATTAAAAAGCTGTAAGGAGAAAAATAAAGTAGGGATGAGTGATCAGAAGGGAAAAAGGGTTTGCATTTCCATTTTCTTTTATTATTATTTTTTTGTCGCCCAGGACAGAGTGCAGGCTATTCCTCCAGCCTACAGCCTCTTTATCCCACAAATTAAAATGCCTGTAATCTCAGCACTTTGGGAAACCAAAATGGGTGGATCACTTCAGGTCAGCAGTTCAAGACCAGCCTGGCCAAAAGGTAAAACCCCATCTCTACTAAAAATACAAAAGCTAGCCAGGTGTGGTGGTGCATGCCTGTAATCTCAGCTATTCAGGAGGCTGAGGCAGGAGAATCCCTTGAATCCGGGAGGTGGAGGCTGCAGTGAGCCAAGATCATGACACTGCACTCTAGCCTGGGCAACAGAGCAAGACTCCATCTCCCAAAACAACAACAAAACAACAAAACACATTTCCAGGGGATTTCTTCCATGGCCAAAACCTGTGGGAAGTTGTCCCTAACACTCCAGGACAGACCCACTCCCAGACGGCAATGCCTCCACTAGGCAGGTAGGATGTTATACCAGACTGGCCTGCTGTGTCCCACCTCCTTACTACCTACTAGAGGGTAGGACCCATAGGTCTACACCCATGTGGTACACACTCACTAATTATCAAGTCTACAAGAGATGGTTATGGGTAGAGGAAGGGAGCAAATATAGCATTAGGTGAGTCCCTGGCCTATGGTTGGCCTCAGCTATCTCTACCTTGCCAACAAAATATCCCACTTTCTTTACTTGTCTGATAATGTTTGTAAAAAGATCCAGAAGCTCAAGGGTATTAACTGCCAACCAAAAATAAAAATAAAAATAAAATCAAAAGCCATTCTTGGAATGAGTATTTATTTCACAAATCAACTGATGTGGTATCATCATAAAATAATGCAGAGATGATAAACTGATGATGGTGTAGTGATAAGAGCTCTCGTTTCATTTATAATATAAACCTTCATTCCTGCCCTCCCCAAAACCAGTTAACTTACAATTAAAATACATGCACATAGAACACCAAAGTGCAGATTAAGCAAAAGGAGATAAGCAAGGGGGAAGGAATTGGGAAGGAAATAACTACATGAAGTCACAGCACAAGATACTGACTGCAATCAGCCATCCAATTTTAAGGCAGCCACAGAAGGGAGGGAAAAAAGCATGAGTTGAATTAGGTCTTTCTCCTGTGACAGACAGGACACTGAACAATGTCATGGGAAATGGGGTAAGCCTCAGCCTTTCCCCAGGCTGAGGGATAAAGGCTGATATTAAACTATCACTAATGCATTCTGGAAGGTAAGGAATCAAGTTGACTTGCCGTGCTCAGTATCATGGAAGATTAACAGGCTAATCCTATGATCAGTTAGGGTATAACCCCTCAGCAGTTCTACATCTAATGACTGTCTGCCTCGAAGGAGCCATTTTAGGGGGCTTTTCACTGACTTCAACTGAGAATGCCACCACCCCTCAAAGAGCTGGGTGCCCTTATTTATGGGCCTTCAAAGCCCATTCCCAAGCAACAGGTGATATCAAGGACAATGAAGATCAACAAGAGGAACACAGGATGGACACAGCCCCAGCCCCTTCCCTAAGCCTTGGTTCCAACAGTTGTAAAAATCATTCTCTCTGCTTCCTGAGGAGGGCTGTCTAGAGAAGCAAATGAGTTCGCGTCCGCACATGTAGAGGCTCTGGTGCTTACCCGTCATCCCCTCATCGAGTATTTATGAAGGACCTATAAGATGCCAGGCACCAGTCTCATTGTTGGGGTATGGAAATGACAGAAATCCCTGCCCTAATGAACCACCTGTGTGCGTGTGCCTGTGTGCGTGCATGCATGTGTATGTGCATGCATGCGTGCATGTGTTGAAGGAGATACAGAGCAAAATAAAGTACAGTTGACCCTTGAACAACACGGGTTTAAAGTTCATGATCCACAAATACATCAATTTTCTCTCACCTCTGCCACCCCTGAGACAGCAAGACCAACCCCTCCTCCTCCTCAACCTACTCAACATGAGATGAGGATGAAAACCTCCATGAGGATCTGCTTCCACATCATACACAGTAAACATATTTTCTTGTCCTTATGATGTTCTTAATAACAATTTCTCCTATCTAGTTTGCTTTATTGTAACAGTATCTGATACATAACATATATACAAACTACATGTGAATCAACGGTTACTGTTAAAGCTCCTGGTCAACAGGTTATCAGCAG